CCTTACTTAATGGGTTCTAGGAGTCATACTTCGATTCGAGCGACTAACCTACAAACGCGTTAACGTACATCCCTAGACCACAAGTACGGTATAGTTAAGGCTTTTGAAAAATTTTTTTCTTCTTTTATTTCGAAACAAGGCTCCCAAAAGAAAAAGAAACTTTCAGTAGTGAATTGCGTAACACTTAGGTGCCAAGCCGACGTAATGTAATATGTCTAGACGGCATCAAGAAATATCTCGGGACTAACTCTTTCTGCAAACCTTGACCCTGGCTTCTTTACGCGGCTTGACTTATGAACTGCACCCTAAGTTATTATATAGTGTTATATTGTTGTAGAAGGTTAAAGAGAAGTGTGTGTATGCAGAGGAGCGTCATAGTTGTGATAAGCCGACTGAATAATTAAAAACTAGATCTAGCATCTATCCAATATAAATGTGGTATGGCCACGTGGCGACAATATTTTCTGAAATTTCTATAAGCTAAAAGAAACTTATATTCTACATTTATGACTCAACTTCATTATACGTTATCGACATTTTTAATACACTTTGTGTACTTTTGATGTGTAGCTTGAACTAATTTTAGTTCTTCGAATGATATTCACTAGAGATGTTATTTGGTCAAATCACGTCCTACATGTCTTCTAAATATACTCCTACACGTTGTCTTTTGCTTAATTGGAAAATAAATTTGTAATTATTATGAAAACAATTCCAGAAGAAAATTATTCATTATTTTTCGAAAACCCGCCATAGTTCATTCTATTATATATTCGGACTGTTCATGATTGCAAGATTATAATAAACGCAGGACGTACAATTGAAAACAACTCGGAATACAATTACCTATAATAATGTGAAATCTAAAGATAGATGTCATAAAATAACTAAACATATTCTTTACGACGTCTTATACTTTTCAAATTACCACCTTCCATTTGGTTGATTACTATCGGACGAAACCATTACGATCGACAACTCCATTGGACGACACGCTGGGTTCAAAAAGTAAGTAACGTATATGAAGGCATCACACACAATACTATACAGTTATTATGGAATCATTTTAGAACTTTAGAACTTTTCCCTACGACGTTTTATGGTCAATAGCAGAAATTAAATTCCGATCAATCCAGCCTTATATTCTCATTACCTATATGAAATAAGAGCAAAAGGTAAGTACAGTTACTTCGTGGTCAAGTTTCATAGCGAGAGGACAACAACCTGGCACTGTTAGTGAGCCGACTTAAAATGAGTCCCACCACATCTGATTTCAGACGAAATTCCAAACAAGCATAAACGAGTAGCATAATTAGTCTTAGCGTTCAATTTAGTTTCTATTTACATCACGCTAAATTTTTATGTTCCACTTGGAGACGTAACATCACCAGTCACTTATATACCATGTCTGGACAAGTACACCTATATATAATACGACGCGATAATACGTGTTACCGCTAAAAGTCGGGTAAATAATCGTAATCAGTTCAGTGGGTGTGTATCTGTTTCCGGTTATTTTATTTTGAAATTCAGTTCCTGACTGACACCAAAAAAGCCAGAGATTATGGAATTAAACAAATAAATAAAAACAAGGATAATGGTGTGTTATTGTTGAGTAAATAACAGTGTGTTATTTAGAAAATAATAACAAATTAGAAGGAAAAAAAGATTTAAAAAAATACAGATTTTAGTATTCTGAGGCTCTGAGCCCCATTTATTTTCCTCACAGACGGCAAAAAAAGTCAGACATTATACGATTTAAAATAAAAACAATAATCGTGGCTTGATATTGAGTAAGAATATGTTTTTATGAACCCCACAGCTTCCGGTCTTCCACGACCCGACCGGACAAAAAGACGTGCTGCAGGCACGAAACATAATACCAATAGAAATACATTGCTTTTAAAATCGTTGTGTGTGACACGAAAAAAAGGGGAAAATTGTGTTGGTGAACACGAATCAATAGATTAAATGTCGTGACTATAACACGAAATGCCGTGAGACTGGGTTGTACAGGCACCAATCTTTTGTACTGGACACACCCCTCCCTGCCCTTACCCCTGGTGAGGGTCCAGTGCGATGGCCCTTGGCTCGCTCAGGTCCGTGTTGATGAGGACTCGTCTCTTGGTGGCGTCCACCGAGGCCACAGAGATGGACTTGTCTCCGGAATCGGCCCAGTACAGGTTGTGTTGGAGCCAGTCCAGAGCCAGCCCCACGGGGGTCTTCAGGAGGGAGTCCAGCAGGGGGACCTGCTGCGAGGGGTCGCTGGCCTCATGGATGAAAGCACTGTGAATACAGAGGGGGGG